GCTACTTAAAATGACAAACCAATGGCAAGTCCCTCTAGGCTTCTTGCTCTTGATGAAATCCTTCTGTAAGAAAGGGATGTCCTATTTGGGCTGTGCTTTATTTTTTCACAAGTGACTCTTTTTCCTTGTAGGATATCCCAAGCAGAGGACCACAGCTCCCAGAAATGGGTTTCCTCCCAAGCCAGACCTGCAAGCCCGGGAGGCCGAGAGACAGCTGGTTCAACAGCTGAAGGAGCGCTGTGAGCAGCAGGCGCGGCAGCTGGGCCTGGTGCAGGGGGAGCTGAGGAAGGCCATCCGAGGCTTCCAGGCACTTGCCGTGTCCACTCAGCATTTCTTCGGAAAGGTGAGGCCACCTTTAGTAAATATTGAAGGGCTTTTCTTTGGGGTGGAGGAGGGCGATCTTGGATATGGTTATTTGTATGTGTGTGTTTCTAGTTTGGGTTTAGGGTTAGAGTGGGGATTCAGATTTCAAAAGGTCATTCAGACTCTCCTGTGGCATCAGTCACATCATGGATGGGAGCCAAGTTCATACTTAGGTGTGAAAGAAGTTAGTCTGGAAGAATGACTTATTACTAACCTTGACTTCAAAAGGCAAAATGATGTGAAAATAAAAAGGAAGGGTTATAAGTGTGCCATCTGAAGGTGATTTTCATAGAGCATGATTGTTTGCATTGTACACAGATCCAGACTCTGAAACTTCTGCTTATTTCATCTTAAGTAGACATGGGCAGCGGTGTTATTCTCTTGGGCGGCTGTTGTGGGAAATGGAATGTGCCAGGCCGAGGCTTCCCTGTGGGTCTGTGTTCACAGAGCAGCTGTGAGGCTTTTCATTGAGAGGATGAGAAGGTACAGGAGTCTTCCCTGCCCCCTGGGTTTCCCTGAACACACAGGAAGGGCTGGTTTCTCCTCAACAAATCACTGCCAGAGGTTCTGGACACTGAGTTTATTAACCACGGAGTGGCTGAGCCTCCAACTTCTGTGTGGGCAAAGGATGGGGACCTGTGTCTGGCTGACTGCTTTTGTGCTCCAGTGGGAAGCAGCCAAGGTATGTTTGGGGGAGAAAAGGAAATTCACCTTCAAGATTCAAACATTGTGAAATAGCATATTAAAAGCCTACAGGACGTGTTAAGTTTCCAATGGATCTTCTGTTGTCTGTAAGTGGGAGGAAGTAAAAATGCTATGTAATTGCTCTCTAAATGAACAAACTGAATTTCTTACCAATTTAAAGAAGGAAGTCAGAAGGGTGTTAAGTAGCACTGCATGACCACTGATTTTAGTTATTTTTTTTTAATCATCTTCCCTGAAAGTGTGGAGGACTCTGACCTCTCAGGATATCCTACAGTGTAAAAGCCTGAGCTGCCCTTCTTGTTCATGTCCTTTTCTTTTTCTTTTCTTTTCTTTTTTTTTTTTGCTTAAAGCTTTTAGTAGAAGCAGCCAATTATCAATTTGCTTTTGTAATGAAAGACAGGATGAACAGATTTCAGCTTTACCAATGGTTTCAGCTTCTTTCCTAAAACACACCTTAACATAGGCAATAAATGACCAATTTTATTTATATTTTTTATTAAGTTCTCTCACCACCTTATCACCTGTGAACCATCACCACATTGCCTTGTGCTCTTCCCTCCCCTGCTTTTCACCACCCCTGCCCCCCAATCTTCTCCTTTAATGTATGCCTCAGTTCTATGGTCAGCTTGCTAGTTTTGACTTTTTCTTGATCTTTCATTGGTTTCTCCATATTGCACATATAAGACTGTCGGTATCTTTTTCCTCCTAATTTCATCCGGTATGATTCCTTCCAGTTCTATCCATGTCACCACAAATGGCATGAGCTTGTCTTTTTTGATCTCTGAGTAATAGTCCATTGTGTAAATATGACCAATTTGAATTTCACGTTTGCTTTTTGGTCTAGTCCTGTTGGTATCAACATTGAACAGTTGCATATACATATAGAAGTTGTATACATAACCCCTGTAAGAATAAAAATTATGAACACATTTTTAAGGTGCCAAGAGACCTGACTCGCCATGGTAAATACTGAGCATTTTTCTTATTCAAGAAAAAATGGCTTATTTTTGTTCTTCAGTTGGACATATATTTCCTACTTACTCTCAAATCTCATAAAGAGAAGAAAATGGGTTGTTCATTGAGCTTCTCTGGTGAGTTACTTTCTTATTCTGCCCACTCTGGGATCGCTCCTTCCAGGCATCATCCATTGTGTCCTCAAATAAATCCTCACCAATCCTTTATAGAGGCTTCCTAGAGATAGATGTATCAACAGACATTGCATTGATATAACACAGACAGTGTGTGCTGTGTTTTACAAGCAAGACTCTTTGGATCCCTCTATGGCATCACAGCACAAAAGCGAGTTTCTGTGCTGAAATTAAGGGTCACTTACCCCTAGTTAATGCAGGAACACTTTGTTGGCCCACGGACCATGGGATTTATTTCTCTGCAGTATGCATGCGACTCTTAAGTCAGAGGTCAGAGGAGACTAGCAGGTGATTTGCAGGCATCTCCCTTGGACCTCCCTACCACGAGAGCTGCTTTTGGCATTTCAGCAAGATGGATGGTGGACATGAATTTCATTTTCTTTTTAGTAAATCACACCAGCAACTTCAAACAGGCCTCCCAAATGACCATGGCATTTCACCGCCTACATAGTACGTTCTTTTCTTTCTTATCTCAGTGCTCTCCAGATAAACCCCTGAAGGGAAAATGAACATTTAAAAAAAAAAAGGGTTTATAATTGAGCATAGTGGCATCCACGGAGGCTGTCATGTATTCCATGTGGCTTAAGAGGATTGATTTGACAGTTTACCAGCAATACCAAGAAAATATGATATGGAATGTGAGCGGCTGGGAAAACTGAGGCAAAGCCACCTCAAACCTATAGTGATGGAGCCCCCTGTTCCCAGGTCTAGAGAGCTTGAGGTGCCCAGTGGCACTCCTGTGGGAAATCAGTACACTGCTGTTACCTGGGAGACATGGTCACAGCTGAGCATGAACCTCATAGCCAGTCTGAAAATGCAGTGTCATTTTGTCCTTCAGATCGGAAGACCCTACTGGAACTCTGCACCTGTATCACTGCATTGTCACCGACAGTGGGTGGCTGGTGGAGCAGGGGCACGAGGCACGGTGCCAGGCAGCAGCCCACCCCATCTCCTCCGCCATCAAGCCATGAGCAGTACTGCCCTCTGGGAGTCTCATCCTCATCACTCAGAGAAGTAACGCCTTGGGCCTGGCTTGGCTGCCCCCTAGCAATGTCACACCTATTCAGTCCATCTTTGAATCTCAGTTTCCTCAGTTCCAAATGGTATTGATAGTAAGTCTCCACAATGTCATGCGAGAATACAGTGAATGAATGAGTAAAGGCACTTTGAACAAATACTCCACACAAAGCTCTACCCTCAAGGATTTTACTCTTGAAACAAGTAAGATATTCTTTTTTCACTATATATATATATATATAAAGGGTTTATACACACACACACACACACATACATACATACATACATACATACATATGGTTTGACCTGGGGCATATTTTAGAAAAAATTTCCACTCTAGCTATTCATATTTTTTTCCCATAATATGCTGATGCCATTAAATATGTATGGGAAGTCACTGGGAAAAAAAGAATTAGAAGCCCAGATAAGAATCTTCCAATTCTGCCCCATGCTTTAATAGTTCCTGTTAGAGCGGCTGTGAATGTTGTCAGCTGTGACAAATCTGTGACAGTCCAGCAGCCAGAGATTCTAAGATTCAGAATTTAGATGCCAACACCAGCCTGACACTTATGTACTTGTCATGGTTCCAGATATCTGTGTCCCTGCAGTAAAGCATGGTCCTCACCACAGCATAAATGGATCTACTGAAGTCTGTGCTTCCCCAAACATCTAAGTGGTGCGGTAGTGAGTGTGACTCTCTCCGGGACTCCCACTTCTCAGGTGGGGGTTGAGTGGTTTTTGTCTTTCTCTGCTGCCTGCTTCCTGAATGCTACTCTTTTGCAGCCTCTGGTGGCTAATCCAGGAAACACTCCAGTGGATGGTCCTGTTATTAAGTGATCTTGCTTTGTATCAAATTTTATACATTTGAGAGTATACTTATTTTAATAAGCTTTATTCCATTTTTTAAATATTTATGTCATTTTATCATTTAATGTGTGAAGTAGATGATGGTTTCTAATTTCTCTATTAGCAAATAGTTTAGTCATGGAAATCATGAGAAGCAATTTGTCAAGAATTTATACTTTCCTTGCCTAATAAAAATTAATGACATGTCATCATCCTTCTTCCAAAGTATACATGGTTCTAGTTTTTGCTGTTTGATCTTTCAATGCACAATTTATTTAAAATGCAAGAGTAGAAATAAAACACCTACCATTTATACTTAATATTTACTGACATTTTCCATATTCACTTTATCTATGATGTTTTTGTTAGTTAGGGGTGCCTACTTTTAAATACAGTTTATATGTTTCAGAGTCAGTTCATTTATACTTGTTAGTAATGGATCTTTCTGCCTCAGTCATATGAAAGATTCTATAGGAGATTCAAGAAAATAATAGTCAGAATTCCCAAGTAACAATGTAGATCCTATTTATTGATCATCTCCTATGTTCCAAACACTTCATATACATTATTTTAACTCTCAACCATCTTACCTGCTATAACTATTGTTCTTGTGTGACAATTGAGGATGTCAAATTAGGATTCAACTAAATTATGTGGCCCTCCAAAGGCATCATAAGATACAAATGTCAGTCACTCAACATCCAATATCCAGATCTTTCTACTATGTTATGATGCCTTCTCCCTAAACTTCAAAGTGCTTTTAATCTAATTAAGGGGAAAACATAATTACAAAAAAAAAAAATTCATGAAAGAATAGTTTAAATGTTAAACCCACAAGATTCCTAACAAGAAATAATCCAAGATGATATATAATCACTTGTGTTGCCATAAAAAAAAAAGATGTGAGCTTAGTGAAAACCCAGTTGTGATGGGAAGGGAGTGGCCTTCCAACTGAAAACCCAGTTGTGATGGAAGAGCCAGGTTGGTGTGCCAAGGAGGAATTGGGATGAGTAAGCAGGAAGAGAGAGCATATGTGGGAAGGAAAAGATCAAAGTGCATTGTCTGCCAAGTGGCATCCTTCTGTCCATCTTTAAACTTTTGCTAAATTAATGATATAGAGAGTGCTCTGGTGGGTTGAAAACTAATTCTAAAAGTGCAATAATTCCTTCATAACAGATCATATTAGAAAGAAATGGCCCCTGTGTCTTCTGTCTGGGTTCTTAGTCAGATCAGGGTGTGTGTTAAAGGGGAGAAGAGACCAAGG